GCATCCCGCTGGAAGCAGGGAAGCGGCTTTCCCTCGGAGGGGGGGGGTCCAGCCTTACCTGGACCAGTACGGGTCCCCGCCGCCATCCCTCCTCATGCCGTCGTGCTGCGCGGCCCGGGGGCCGTGCTGGGCTCCGCACAGCGGGACATTCCTGCCGCCGCCACCCGCGGCCATGCGGGCAGCGCCTTCCGCCTCCGCCGCCTTCACATCGCGGCGGCGACGACGGCGGCGGCCGCCGGTTCCCTCCCTCCCTCCTTCCCTCCCTTTCGGACTCGAACCCGGGACCCGGAGGGTGCCCGACGCAGGCGGGGAGGGGGCGTTTTCTCCATCCATCACCCACAAGTGGGGGATTTTTTCCCCTCTTTTTCTATTTTTTTTTTTCCTCCGCTAAATATTGAAAAATATTTAAAATATTCTATTTAAATTACATTCTATAATTTACACCCCCGTCTGAGCGGGGTTACAGAGACCCCAAAAGAGGGTGTCTCCTCTCCAACACCTGGAAAGCACCACGTTAATTCCCCGTCCTCCAGCTTTCACAGGTTTGACAGGAGGAAAGTCCCCGGTTTTTTAAGGATCAGCACTGAATATGAATATTCCCATCCAAAAGAATTGAATGCAAAAATAAACAGGAATCAGTATTTAAACAGGAATCAGGCTGAAACAAAACTGACTCAACTCTGTTGGACAGAGCCGTTGCCTCACTGTAAGATCAGAGATAATCAGACTCCTTTATGGAAATAGAGAATTAAAATGATGGTTATCTCAGCCCAACACAAGAGGACTCCTGGCTCACTTCAGGAACTTCACCGAGCAGGTGGAGGAGCTTTTTGGAGCCATTGTTTGGGTGATTCTGCCACCGAGAGCAAGTTGGATGGAGTCAGGGCAAAGCTCCAGGTGAGGGAAGGAGGGAGAAGCTCTGGCAGAGCCTGGCCAAGGTCCTACACAGCCCTTGGGAAAGGCACCAGAGCTGCTGGGCTGCTCCAAAACTACAGGGTGCAGGGCAGGCGTCTCCCTCTGCTCCTGCAGCCTGTAAATGCTTGTTAAATCAAGCCTGTAGAAGACCAATATTTAGCAAACTCACCCCATTCTTCTCCAAAGAGCTGCTGGGCTGCTCCAAAACTACAGGGTGCAGGGCAGGCGTCTCCCTCTGCTCCTGCAGCCTGTAAATGCTTGTTAAATCAAGCCTGTAGAAGACCAATATTTAGCAAACTCACCCCATTCTTCTCCAAACGCCAATACTCTGCAGGTCCCCAAAGGGACATCAGCTACTTAAATCAATGGGTAACAGTATTAACGAGCTAAACCTTACTCAGCAAAGTAGCAAAAGGTTCCTCACACACCATAGAGACAACTCCGGAAGGAGGTCACCAGGGCTGATAAAAGTTTAAAAAAAAGTATCATAAAATCACACTTTGTCCTTTGCTTCAGGATTTTTTCCTCAGAGGAGAGATCTCCCCCCAAAGGCCTGTGGCAGACTGGAGTAGCAAAAGGTTCCTCACACGCCATAGAGACAACTCTGGAAGAAGGTCACCAGGGCTGATAAAAGTTTAAAAAAAAGTATCATAAAATCACACTTTGTCCTTTGCTTCAGGATTTTTTCCTCAGAGGAGAGATCTCCCCCCAAAGGCCTGTGGCAGTCACACACCTCACACAGACCCACTGCCACCAGAAAACAAATACAAGCAGCTTCGGTACAAGTGGAAACTGAAGGGGGACCATGTGTGGAGACCACAGGCTCAGCCTTCATCCAGGGGTAGCTTTTCCTCCCTTTGTTTGGGCAGAAAACTGGAAATTATATAGAAAACATTTTTCCTCACTCTGCTGCTGTGCCCGTTTCCAGAAGAGGGAGCCAAGTCATGGTAAAATGCAGCCAAAAATCCAAATCATTGTTCAATTTGTGTTTTTTTTTAAATAGTGTATATTTTTGGAGTTAACTCGAGGCAGGAGGGGAGATGATTCCTGATGTCACTGAAGTGAAATGCATGTAAAAAGCTCCGAGAGGACTTGGGCTTGCTACGGTAATCACACATACAGAGTAATTAATAACTCATACTCCTGTATGATTTAATACAAGCCTCAGTGCCGTGGGATGCAGGCGCCTCCACCAGCCTCTGCAACATTGGCCACCGACTCACTGAAATTATGATTCCAGTTACAAATTAAGCCTGTCGCACAAAGTTTTCTTTATTTGTTGTACTCCTCCAGGTCCTCTCCTTGCCCCGCTCAACATCACCTCCTCCATGAATAGCTGCTTTGACCAACGCACGTCTCGCGCGAGAAGCTTCACTGTCAGAAATAGCTGCAGTTAAAAAGGGGCTGCACAGAAATAAGTTTAAAAAGTAAAAAAAACCCACAGACATCACTCCTTTTGACGCCACACAGTTTTCTGGAAGCAAAGCCTCCCACCCAGCTGATTAAAAGGCAAAGGGAACGGGTTCAGAAGACAGGTGCTGACTAAAGAAAATAATCTGATGCAAGAACACCAATTTCCTCTCTTTTTTTCCCTGACTTCAGCTTAATCTGTCGAAAGATTAAACCAAAGATTATCGGGTTAATATCTGAGCTGACATTTACTATCACTCAGGTTTATGCAGACAAGGGCTGTGTTATGTGAAGGTTTATGGAGTTAAGGCAGACCAAGACCAGATCCATCAGGCGGGTGTGAGGAGAAATGGGGGCACACGTTCTGTAAAGGACAATTATTGTTTCTAAAAGGACAGTCTGACCCCATCTTGGAAGGTCCCTGCTGACCAAGAGCAGCCTCAATGCAACTTGTCCACGGTCTGAAGAAAAAACACACGTGGTTTCTAGTGCTAAATAATGCAACTTTGCCAACCTGCTGCAGACAGCAAAACACTGAAAAAATAATAGAATGACCAGAGAAGATGCTGAATTGAGACCAGCTCCAAAGCGAACGGCAGCTCCCGAGCAGGAATTGCTGTGGGGGCTTGTAAGGCAGCAGAATATTGCTGGAATCCCCATCTCACATGAGGAGCAGGATGGAGAAGGCAGGGGGCTTCTGGTTGGGAGGTGCCTGACGGTGTCGGCGTGCAGCCCAGCAGCACTTTGTAATTGCATGAAGGCAAAGGAAAGGACTAAAAATACTTTCTAGCCCATTGAGAAACACAAATCCTTTTGAGGGTGCTACTAATAAGTTTGTGTTTTGTCTGGGTGCAGCTGAGAGCGTCAAGCAAACCAGTTGAGGAGCAGGGCTGGCACCTTCAACCCTCCTCATCCCTTTTCCTCAAGAAAATTACAGCAGAAACAACTAGTGAGGGGTGACATCGCTGCTGGACGGAACAGACACCTGCAGCAGGGGCCAGAACCCCTCTCAACTCGCCATAGCCTAAAGGCAGATTTAGGGCAAAATATGGCTCCACATCCTTTTATATCCTTGGAGGTATCTCAAGGCTGTTTGACAGGGGGAGGCCCCGTTACCCGTGGAGATGAGACAGAGAGGGATCACGCTCCAACTCAATTTAATAAGCTTCGTAACGGACTCGGACAGAAAGTGGTTTGAAATAAGTCGAGCAACACCCATCTACTAGTCAAGGATTTTTTTTAAGTAATGCTTTTAAGCTCATACTCAAGCGTACAAAGCATGAAGTTTACAAATGAAAAACAGTAAAATCATCCTAGAATAATGTAATGGCTTCCCCTACACGTACAAGGAGCGGGAAGGAGACAGAATTCTTTCCAGGTAATTCCACACATCTCAAATGCTACAGAAGTGCTCTCCACGTTCATTTCAATTTTTCTTTTCACGTGGGTGGAAGGAGCTGAAAGCGTTTCAATGAACTCATCTTAAAGAGCGAGAGGTACTTCACCTGCTTTCAAGCTGTATGAGTTTGCCTCTTCAAAACCCTCGAGAGGAAATGCCTTACTTAAAATTCGGCTGTTGGTTTCTGCGCAGCAGCCTGTTTTTCCAGCTCAATAAAAATTAAACAGTTCAGTGAGCATTTCTCAGGAAGTACCACCGGTTACTTCATCTTGGTGGAAATCCATTGTCCCCCACCCTTCAAACACGACGCCGTTGTACAACAGAAGCAGCCACAGCTCAGCTCAGCTCCCAACCATCAGGCAGAAAGGAAAGGCGGTCACAGCGAAGACGACGGTTCTGCAGGAGGTTTGGGAAAAGGGCAGAGATTTGTAGCCCAAACAAAACACACTGGATTTTTCAGCCTTGCTGCAGAGGCATAAAAGACAGGTTATTTTCCAACCCAACTGCTTTGTGTCCATGGCATTAATATAAAAAAAATAAATAAAATTGTTTCCAAGAGAGGAAAGGCCGGGGAGGAATGAGCGTAGTGTACAATTAATGACCAGATTTGTTTGCCACTGCTGAGTTTGGAACAAACCTTTTTACAAAAGTTATTTTCATTACTGTTCTAAATTAAGTGGAACAAAATATGTCTTTTTACACTAAAGGAAACTGATCAAAGTGGCATTTAATAGTATTTGTTAAAGTGGTTATCTAACAAAAATGGGTTAACAAAATCCCATTCATTAGTAGTCACCAAATAAGACATTTCTCATGCATATGACAAAAGTTCATTCGTGTACTGAGAGGTCTGTTTACTGTGTACAATATTTCCATAAATTATAATATGTTTCACAGCCCCTACCATTCAAGAATATTTCAAACAGATTATATATTATATTTGTATATGCAAACTATTTTATATACACTAATATAAAGATCCTTAGAAGTACCATTATCACTACCTTTATGCTTTCTCTAAAATGCATAGCTTTCGAATATTTTCTTGCAGTTACCAAAAACTTTACAGATTAAAGCTGCTTATCAATGTGGCATGTTCATAAAAACAAAGTGAAATAGTTCTATACTAATTTTATATTAAACCCCTTAAAAAACATGTTTATTTTTTAATGGAAAAAGAAACAAGCTAGTGAAAATTCAAGTAATCTATGCTCAATCTTTGCCCAAAAACTCTACGAAATTAATGTAGCGTTCTAGAAATACAGTGAACTTCTCAGCCAGGATGTAATACTGCATTTCTCATGGAGAAAAATGCTAGTTCATGCCACAAAAACGCACCACTTTCCACTTCATCCGGGAGAAGCTGTAGCTGAGATTTAACACCACAAGCGTCAGAAGAGAGGAAAAGCTGATCGGTTCTATGTGAAGAAATTAGAGCTATTCCAGTTTTTGTTTTCTGCAGTTTGTTATTAAACAAAGTTACATTAACCATACAGTTTCTCACAAACTAAAAGTTATACACGGTTTTTAGACATCAACCGACTGGAAAAAGCAAAAAAAAAAAAATTAAAAAAAATAAACCACAACTGTTAAAAGTTTGGTGTTAGAATAACCAGCCTGGGTGAAGGAAAGCCAGACCCCTGCTGTAGTTGGGGGGCGGGGGGCCATTAATAGCTTGTTTGTTATGTATAAACTTTAAGACCTCCATACCACAAACACCTCAAAGTGGAGAACAGAACCATCAGAAATAAATGGGAACAAATAAATTTTGTGATATCCATCATCTAGCTTAACCTTGGCGCTCCGCATCTCTAACAGCTGCTTAACAGTTTCCCTCCCCACCCCCCCAAAAAAAAATAGCTACACAAGTAAACAGTGTTCACAGTAATGCAATCAGTAACAGGTTTTGTTAGTTTCCATAAGTCAGGTGTATCTGCAAAGCTTTATACAGTTTAATGCGTAAGTATTCCAGTAAAATTAAGTGAAAACCTAAGTTTCATTCTACAGGGTAATATCTACCATACAAGACTAGATTATGTACAGTATGGGACCGGTGTGACAACTGCCAGTGTCTCATGATGTCAAGCTATCTCACCCACCAGCTCGGTTTTCGTTGAGCAAATCCGTAATAACTTGATATAGGAACCAAAAAAATCTCGAGATTGATTTGGCAAAATTAGTGCTTCCTACCGCTGGGTACACACCAGTGGACAGTGCTGCAAAATTAGGTCGACCAGAACATCCCATACCCAGAAGATCACCATTTGTTGACTTGAAAGTCTGGACTTCACATGAAAAACATTAAAACTATAATCCTAAGCGGAGTGAGGACAGTCAGTAAACAAATACAGGTGAAGATGAACTGCATCTCTTCAGAAAGGTATGGAAGAATCGAAAAAAAATGGAAATTTTTGGATTTAGACAGCCCTGCTCTGCTCAGCTCAAGGCATAAAAACAGCCCAAGTAGCTCTAAAGTTACGACTTATTCAGCAAAGCGTAAAGGCAGATCCTGCACAAGAGGATGCATCAGAGGCTTCAACGAGCATCTCTTCCCCCACACTTCATTCCCTAACACAATCCTGTCTTTCAGTTTACAAACATCCAGTGGCCTTCAAAGCTTTAGTGGAATCACTGCAGCATCCACAGCTGCAAATTAAATAACTTGGGGGGGGGGGCGTGGGGAGAAAGGCCCCTGTTAACAAAAACCTTCGAGTGCCTCTGGGGGCCGTTTTGGTCATCCGTGAAAATTAAGGAAAAAAACCAACCCTTATTTCCAACAATACTCCTCCTGAAAAGATGGGTCACTGATCCATTATGAACATAGCTCTCACCATATAAAGCACCAAAAAAGTCAGAAACAAGGAAGGAAAAAAAAAAAAAAAAAGTCTTTAAATTATGCTTTACAAGTTTGTACACTATTTCCTAAGCGAAAGGTTGACCTTACTGCAAAGTTTATAGATGAAAACTTGACCAGTTACTTTTAAGGGGAATGTATATCTGGCTATAACTTAAAGGTAGAAAATATTCACTGTTCTATATACACATTTCAAACAGGAGACAGTTAAACTTAACTGAATAGTTGCCAATATAACTCCGTATTAACTCACTGGCCACTAAACTAGGCATCAGTAGCCAATTAGAAAGCTTGAGTTCTGTACTTTTAAAAATGCTATTTTTCCTGTCCTGTTTAATTGTTTTTTTTTTAAAAATGTATTATAGTGCATAGCCTAAGTCAGACTTTCAAAGAGATACAGCGCCTTTCAATGCAGTTTTTGCAGCATTTAAAAGGGACTTTTCTCCCTTCAAATTAGATGTTCATTGAAAAATCTGAATTGAGTGCTGTACTGTAGTAAAAATATTTCAGTCACAGACTGATATAAACGTATACTGTGCAGTACTAAGATTGTTTGATGTCCATCTGCACACATTTTACTTGGGTTCTTCGATCGTCCCCTTGCTGAGGTCTGTCATTTTGGGATATTTCACTTTCTTCTGGTCCAGCTCATTCTGAGCCCACAGTAGTAGTTTCAGTAATTTTGCCAACTTGGGTGTTGATTCACGATTTTCATAGTCTAGAACAGCTTGATTAACCTCGCTCCATACCTGGAAAAGAAACACTAGAGTTCAGTAATGGTTTTTGATGATTAATACTGCTCCAGACATTGAGAAGATCACACCTAGTCTCTAATTCCTCAGAACACAGTCAGGTCAAAGCTTTATAAACTACAAGCCTGGAGAAAACAAGGACGAGAGCCAAGTAGCTGAATACATTAACAGCTTTTTGCTTTGAATCTTACGAAATACTTCTGTTCTATTGCCTGTCACTATGTAGATTTTTTTTCTAAACATTTCAAAAATATTTGGACACCGTTTTCACTACATACAAATAAAAGGCATCGGTTCCCTTTGGCGAAAGGACTACCTTCTGTCGCTGCATCATGTTAAGCAAGTCTCCAAATGGTGATTCTTCGGGATTATCAAAGGCGAGCAGAGCCAGCGTACGCTCCATTTCTGTCAGGCATTCCCTGCTCTCCTCCCCCTGTTCTGCTAATTGGGTCTGAGCAAACTCCAGAGCCGCTTCCGTCTCACGCTGCCGAATCAGTTCAATCAAATGCTGCTGCTACATGAGAAAGACAAAGCAATATTAGCTAAAGAAATTAACAAATCTTCAGTTTTTCAAGACTAATCTTCAGACATCGGTGTGCAATTTGAAAACAAACACTAATCCATAATTTGACAGTTTGAGGTCAGTTCTTCTCAATGTGTGAGACAAGGAGCAGCAGATTAGTCTACAAAAATCTACTGAAAAAGGTAACCTGACGCTTTTGAGTAACAGGTTTTGAAAAGATGTCTTGCTCAAGGAACTACTAGAAATTCTGAGTAACAGTAAATGGAAGTTAGTAAATCACAGGCCACTACTGTGAAAGTTTTTAATGTTACTAATTGTATATGATGCCAAGAACAAACATCCACGTTCAGTCACAAACCTCCCAACACTCGTAAAACCTGCACTACTTTTTCTGATCTCTCCGCAACCTCTAAAACAAAAAATAAAGTTTGTCACCTGTCCTTACCTGCAAATGAAAGTAAAGATATCTGTTTGTATCTAACAATTCTGGATGGAGGCTGTTTATTAACGCAATGGCTTCTTGAATCTGTCCTTTCAAGATCATTTCTCGGATTTTTATTCTTTCGTCGAGAGTCTCTAAATCAACACTGGGTTCAATTCCAGACTCCATTCGAAATTTCTCTGCCGCTTCCTTAAAGCCCTCTGAAATAGAAACATTTTACCTATAAAATATATTTTATGAAACACTTTAAAAAGTATCAGCTTAAATGAAAAGACTTAAGTATTGCTTGTGCATTTCGGCAGTTTAAAGATTAAGTCTGAAATTCTGAAAAATTCTTATTTTCATAGGTGTTTATCCCACAGGCATCTTAATTCATGCTGAACTCAAGTGCCCTCATTCTCTAGGGACACATGTAACTTGTAGCCTGATAACTCTAAACTTGAAAGCTTGTTTTCTATTTAAATAGAGCAGCGTACTTATTCCAAAAGGGGATTTTCCAAAATTTGAGTGGTTTTGCTTCTCCCTCCCAGCCCCCCAATCTGTTTACACACACCTCGCAGCTTTACCAAGAAGAAACAGAAAATGAATTTTGCTTTCTCATACTAACACTACTTTTTTTTTTTAAAGTTATAACAGCTATTTTGAATCCTAAGTCACGCTTTCAAATACACAAAAATTATTTATGCCACTAAGATGCTCTTCCTTCCGAGGCTTCACCTACACACCAATGTAAACAGGGGTGTAGATCGGATACGGCTGCCTCCGCCCTAGAAGAGCTTACTGTGCTGGTATGCAAGGTAATTGCTAGGGACAATTTCCGAGGGATTTTGATTGTCCCAAATATAAAGTCAGGCTATGTGCTGAAGGGGTTAATGTTTTGGGTCTCAAACTATTTTGACAAGAGTGCCCTTTTACAGTTTATCTTTCTAGTTAAAACTTGCTTCTGGCAGCTGTTCTGTGCAGCTTTCAGAGTGCTATTTAACAAGTGCAACAGATCTCGAACTGTTTTAATGGCACAAAAAAAGGATTATTACTGTTAACAGTATTTCAGAAAATACTTTATTTTCTATGCCTTTTTCTACACCTTTAAGAAGAGCTAAGGTTAGTAATGTCACTTCTATTGCACGATAACTTCTCTGTCTCTGAATCTTAGTCAGTTCCCAGTTAAAAGAACACAAGAGCAGTCGTACCTTGCTAAGAGAACCCAACAGCAACCACTAAGTCCTCAAAGCCCTTAACTTCACCCCATCTAGAGCATATTCTAGCCAAAACCATCTGTCTTGATAAAATAAGCGACATGCATTTAAGACCCTCCTAGCAATACTACTTATTTTTACCTGTAACAAGGTAGTTCATGATAAGGCGGTTCATGTCTGCTCTCTGGATATGCAAGTTATTAAGTTTTTCCATCCATTCGTCTTTTGTGATTTCATCAGGTTTTTCTGCATAACTCATCCTGGACTCTTACTACAAGAAAAGCAAAGCATCTCATTTAACACAATTTAAGAAGTAAGTTAGTTTAATGTGTATAAGCACTGCATTACTACCATCTTTATACCTTTTTATGAGATCTTTTAAATTATTAATCCAAAAGAGACCCTTTTATCTCAAACCACAATTTTACATTTTTCTCCTGCACTCTTTAACGTCTCCGAGCCAGTCTCTAAAGCTGCTTTCATCAATTGTCAGAGTGAAAAAAAATTCAAATACCATCTTTCTTATAGTTACTCTTAAATCTACTCCAACTAAATCTTGTTTACAAGTTAGACAGGACACACAGCATCACAAAGTGACACAAGTGAAACAAACAGTTTGACAGCTAGCCAGAAAAAAATGTAATAAAGCCTTAGAGTAAAGCCTACATAAACAATACTTGCTTTAAGGTTTTCACCAACACTTAGACGGGGCAGCTCCAGATACCGTATAGCTACAAAATCGTACATGATATGTTACCCAATGTACAACAATGTACACTACCTTAGCTTTGCTGTCCCTAAAAGTGCTGTCAACATGTCAACACTACTGAAGTGGGATCTCCTAGTATTTTTCTCGACTGTATTTTTTGTAGATTTGGGAGCAAAGCGCTTTGCTAAAGCCGGCATTTAATCATTTCTCCCTTCAAGTCACGCTCGCGGGGGCAGGGAAAGGGGGAGGAGAGGCGGCGACAACAGCAGCAACAGGCACCGCCACCCCTCTCGGACAAACACCAGCGGCAGCAGCGCGCCTTCCCAGCGCCGGCCCCTTCCCAACAGGTTTTTCTCCCTCTAAACTACGGCCAAAGCCCCGCCGAGCCCGGGGAAGCCGGGCAGCGGGAGGCGGGCTCAGCCCGGGGCCGCCTGAGGGGCCGATCGCTCCCCGGCCCCGCGTTCACACCGCCCCCACCCCCGCGGCGCGGGGGAACGGGGCCCCCGCCGCAACGAGCTGCGGCGGCCTAACCCCCGCTCGGCCCCTACCCGCCGCGGCACCGCGACCTTCCCCCGCCCGACCCCGACCCGGCCCGGTCCTCCGCGGGGCCCGGGCCACCGAAGGGCTCGGCCCTGCTCGCCACAGGCCCGGAGCCTCCCCACCGCCCGCAGCGGCGGAGAGCGGGCCAGCCCGCCGGGCAGGGGGAAGGGCCCCGCCAGCCCCCATCCCCTGAGGGAAGGCGCGGGTCGGCCGGCGCCATCTTACCGAGCGCGCGGCGCTGCCGGCTCCGACGCACGAACGCGGGCCCCTCCGCCGCCTCCGCCAGGCCGCTGGCGCGCGGGTCTCGCGAGAACTGCCCTCCCGACCAATCAGCGCCCGGGGAAAGGCGAGAACACGTAACCATAGAGGCGGCCCTCGGGCCAGAGCGTACGCCTGCCCGCGCCGGTGCGGCCCTCCAGCGGGGAGCCGGCACCATAGAGACGGCGCGGGGTGGGCCGCCGAGGGATCGGGCCCGGACCCGGCAGGAGCCCGTCCGTCGGGACAACGGGAGGGAGAAGGGCCCGCTGTAGGTACACGGGTGGCTAGTTGTGCCGGTTCCTGCTGCTGTTGGTAGGCCGGGCTGCGGAGGGTGGAGAAGAGCTGAGGAGAGCTCCCGACCCGCCGCCGCCGGGTCACGGCTGAGGCAACGCCGCCGGCTGGGTGTTTAAATGTCCTTAAGAGGTATAAATTCTGAGGCGTTGCAGATAATAATCCTCAAAAATGAGTATTTTACTTCACGCAGACTGGGGATGTGGATCCAATCACTGGTTTTTCGGGGGCTTTGCGCCGCCCGGTGCAGCGGGGGTGTCCCCGCCGGGGCGGGGGGTGGGACGGGGGGAGATTTAAGGCCGTTTCCCACCCGAACCGTCCCGCGGGGGTTGGTTTTGTAACGGGGACACATGTTTGTAACGGGGACACAAAGCGCGGCCTCCAAAACTCCCTTCCATTCCAGTTGTCCCTACATCGAAACTGGGAAAATCTACCGTGCAATCGATAATTTATTATTTTAACTTCCCCCCCCCAAAAAAAAAAACAACAACAAAAAAATCAAAACTCTCTGAGTTTACATAAACAATGCCGAGTGTATAAACAACTAAGTTTTCAAATATTTAGTAATACATGCCCCGTGACAGAGAAAGGTTCAGCGTGTTCCTATGGACTGGAGAGGGCTCCTCCTCGGGCTTCAATCTAAAAAGTCAATGAATGCTAATTAACTCGTAATCCCATGGGGAAATATCAACGTTCCGACTCCCTTTTTGAGCCTTGGGAATCTCCCTGGGCTCTCCCGGTTCCTGCCGGCTCCTCCCCGACAGGAGGAGTTTCTCGGGAGACTCCCATAAAGAGGGAGGGGAGGAAGGTGCCTCCCCCCGGGAGGGTTTGGGGGCTCTTCTGGAGAGGGAGGCGCTCCCCAAACAGAGAGGAGGCGGCGGGTGTCATTCTTCCCGCAGGTAACGAACAAAGAATAGGTCTAATTGCTTTCTAATGAATAGAATAATATATCAAATAACTCAGCTAAAATAGGTGTGAGGGGCTGCGTGGCGTTAACACCTCTGTTGTCACAGACTGGGGTGTTCAACCAACTGCAACAGAAATTTTCCTTTTTCCCCCCCTTTTATTGTCCCTGAGCTACAGAAAACTAAAACTGGGCTAAAGGCCCACCTGAGCCGTGGTTTTGCTTGTGAAAAATAATTTGGGTTTTTTTTTTTTTTTAATATTTTTAGGAATTGGCATTTTTTCAGACTGTAATGTTAACAAAAAAGATTATTTTTTTATTTTTATTATTTTTCTGTGCAGAATATCATGGTGTTCTCATCTTTTTTCCTTTCGTATCGTTTCCCTAATTTTCGGTGCCTCTGGTAACATCAAACTTTGTTAGAAACTGAGCTTTCGTTTGGGAGAAGAGGCTTTACAGCTGCTTCAGTTGCAGCAAATGCACTTTGAATGTTACTATTGAAGCTTTTTTGTACTGAGTCTGAAAAAAAAAGCAACTTTCTAATGCATTATTTTTTTTTATTTGGTGAAATAGTACTACAAGTGTAAGTAGTGACACATTGTTTCATGGCAGCACTAGCTCGATGTGATAAAATTCTAAGTATATAAAAAAAAATTAGAAAAGTATTATTCTTTTCTCTTGATACAGGCCTTTTTTTCTTTGCTAATGTTGTGGGTGCAATGAAAACTCTGTGTGTTTGGGGGAGTGAGCAGTATCTTAAGTCATAAGTGACACATATTTTATACTAACTTTTCTCTGATAGAAAGCTGCCTGGTCACCTTCTGCAGTCCCCTCTTTTTAATTTGTATCTCACTGAATACATGCTTAATTATCCCATGCATAAGACCTGCTGCTGTCTTTAATGAAGAGAATACTCAAGTTCCCTTCACTTCACAGCCTGGGATACCCAAAGATTTGGAAATAGCAAATTTGTTTGGCTTTTGTTTGTTAAACCTCACAAAATTAAGGGGACAGTAGAAAGATACAAAGCTGTGCAGCAACTCTCTGTGTGTTTGGGGGAGTGAGCAGTATCTTAAGTCATAAGTGACACATATTTTATACTAACTTTTCTCTGATAGAAAGCTGCCTGGTCACCTTCTGCAGTCCCCTCTTTTTAATTTGTATCTCACTGAATACGTGTTTAATCATCCCATGCCTAAGACCTGCTGCTGTCGTTAATGAAGAGAACACTTAAGTTCCCTTCACTTCGCAGCCTGGGATACCCAAAGATTTGGAAATAGCAAACTTGTTTGGCTTTTGTTTGTTAAACCTCACAAAATTAAGGGGGCAGTAGAAAGATACAAAGCTGTGCAGCAACTCAGGGCAAAAGCTACCTAAGTCGTTCCTTCTTTTCTAGTGCAAGAGCCTGACTTCTGTTAAAAACCCTAATGCTCTCCCCAAGCTGGAACCACGCTTTTCTTTTACTAGTCAGGGAAAACCTTGCAGGACAGTTCTGTGACTCCAAAGTTGGGTTAAAATGCATAGAAACAAACTACTTTGTTCTCAGGAAATTATTCCATGCCTTCAACATGCCACAGTCCTCCAAGAATCTTCCAGTAATGAGGACAGTAATAACATGAAAAGTAGAATTTTTTGGGGCAAGACTACAAAATTTAGACTAAAAGAAATATATAATAACTGTAATTCAGTGCAGTTTATAGAATTTTTACATGGATCAGGATTTGGTAAATCCTAATCACAAAGAGGTATTTTGATGATTGATATTTGGAGTTGAGTGCAGTGAATCCCAAACTAAAGTCACAAAAATCCCTGGAAAAAAAAAAAGCTATATAATGCAGGGAAGGGGAAAGAGTTTACCTAAAACTGGAGGGGAAAAAACCACCTGGAAGTTCCTGTCAGCTGGTAGGGAAGGGGATTGCTTTATTTATGTGAATATGATCAACCCTCAGTAAAGTATTTTTCTATGTTCATCTAGTTTTTATGGAAAAGGAACTATCAGGAGCCTTGGAGAATCAAGGACCCAGAAGAAATCACTACCTTGACACCAGACTTACCTATTTGGAGTGAAGTGCTGAACTTTGAGGACTCTGAGGAAAAGAGGCCCTTTTCCACATCCAAAGGTAAAACCAAAGCACAGCTGACAGAAATCAGTCTCTCCTGACTTAAAATTATTTATTATCTGTTAAAAAAAAAAAACAACACACCAGAGATGGAGGAGGGGAAGATAACTTGCTTATTTGCTTTCATCTCTACTCAATTCGTGGGCTAACTCTGCCTCTGGTTTTTACCTGAAATTGGCTCGCCAGAACGTTCAGTGAGGAAGAACTGAGAAAAGGGGTAAACAATAAAGTAAGTTTTATATTTAAGGGCTTTGCATCTTCAAACACTGGAAAAGGTTGCTCTCTTGGTGGAGGGAAAGGTGGGTGAGAGCAGAAATGACACCCCATCTCTGTGCAACATGAAAGTGATGCCTTAGTGCCTGTCACAAATTGTAGTTTTATGGGTCACACCTGAAGACCCTTGTGTGAGACACTACAAATATAAGTCAGGCCAATTTGAAGACACACAGAGTTTAAAAAAGGAATAAGTAGGGAAACCTAAGGGATAAATAAATAAAGATGTATCAGCTGCAGAGGAGAGCCTCAGCGTACTGCCTGCCTGATAGCCAGAAAGGTTCTGGAAAGCAGCGGAAAAAAGTTTGAAGGAGAGTTAGTGCCAAGGGATTTGTAGATATCTTAGCATAAGCTTCTCTGGTATTTAAGAAGGAGAGACAGATAAGGTGCTTATTAGACTGTTTTAGATGCTGACTGATAGTCATTAGTCTCTGCTAGGATTTCCCAGCAGTGTTTTCAGCTCAAACCAGTTAGAAACTATCACCGTGTTGTATGACAGGGAGCCTAAAATGGAACAAAACTCCTGTTCTGTAGATACAAAAAAAATGCCCTGACTTCAACACCAAGCTGTAGGGTTTTGTGGGCTGGAAGTGTACTGTACCTCAGGTGGTGCTCACTGGGTGTGCAATGGGAATGGCTGTTGGGTTGAGATGGTGTCAGCCTCTTGCCAAATGTGTGAAAGAGGAATTTAATACCTGTTTCACTGCTGGATCCCCCATTGCAGGCATCCCCTGGTCACTGCGGGTGCACAATTCCTTCTTTTGCATGTTCCCTTTCCTCAGTGTGCAATTCCTGGGTTTGAGCACTCCTTAGATGCTAAATTTGTCCATTAACAACATGTTATTAGCTTTTCCCAGGGCATAAATCACAGTGCGGCTCCATCTACCAAATCATAAGGTATTTCCCCTCCACGTGCTTTTGATTTATTGTAGCGCTGTAGTTGCAGAAGAAAAAATTAAAATTCTGCTTGCCTTTCATCATGATGTGTTGTACTTTTGCACAGGAATGTGTTGGTTTTTTTTTTTTGGTGTTCCTGTGTGAAGTAAGTATTAATGCTGCCCAGTTTTACAGGTGGAGAAAGAGGCTAAATATGTTATCAGGCTAATAGTTGCTTTTACAACCAAAAGTCTTGTGTACAGAAAGCAGACTTCTAAAAGGTGTAATCAAAATACTTGAGAGAATCCTGTAAGTCTATGGAATTAATGCTAAGTATGTTTTTGTGTTTCCTCGTGTTTTCATTCCTGAATCCAAGTAAACACTGCACCTATTAGGAATCCAACTGGAATCAGTGTTATCAATACATGAGGAAAAATGTGCAGAATCAGGGTCAACCAAAGAGCCAAAACTCACATTTTCAGCTGCCTGAAAGGCTTTTTGGGGTGTCCAGGTCAGGAATGCCTGCACGGCCTCGTGGGTCTGACCATAAACCATGGGACCCCTCAGGTGCCTGCGAGATGTAGGTGCTTTTGGTTGCTAATATCACAAACACCCACAGGAGGAAC